AAAGCAAGAAGAAGCCAAAATTCTTATCGCAAGATGGCTCTCATTTGTTGAAAACAATTTAGCAAGTTAGCTAAGTCACTGTCTACTCTATTATTTAACTTTACGCTGATACTTTTTGTTTTATGTTCAGTCGCGAACCCGCTTAGCACGTGGTATCGTCACAGGGACAGACACTCCGGCAATAGGAGGGCACTGCAAACAAAACAAGTCCCTTTGTCCTCGCTACGCAAATTAAGCGGTAATCACCACAGCCTGCTTTCGAAGCCCGTCCTTAGCCACAAGGAAAACTGATCCAAGCAGCTGAACGTGAAATGTGTTCTCAGAGTAGGCGTGACTCGAAGACAAAAGAAATTGACACTAACAGTCGGCGCTGTGAAATGCAACATGAGAGCCAAGAGCAAAAACCAAACCGACCTCTAATAGTCATTTGTTTTTCAGCATCAAACTTCTCTGAGATCTGAGCGCTTGGAGATGTCATCGGACGCATGCGAGGTGGTAATTTTGAAGTGACCATTGCTTGAGCAAGGGTCATCCGCTTTGCAGGTTCTATCGAAGAAGGTTGTGGATTTTTCGACTGAAATAATATGAAAAAATGTTTGAAAGCGTCTGTCGAAGCGAAAAAATACAACGCCCTCAGTGTGAAAGTGCTCACCTGTATCACACTCGACGTTTCTTTAGATGAATCTGTTCCTGCTACATTAGAGGTAGAAGTCAATTGGCTCTGTTTCGCAATACCATTCACGCTCTTATGTTCAGAAGACAATTTCGATGAAGCTGGCTTCATACTGCAAATTGGTTGATGATCAAATGATCGGTCATGATTAGGAAATTCGACTAACCTCATGTCATGCCACTTCAAAAACTCTTCGTACGTCATAGATTCATTCGCAATCTTTCTGAGCACATCCTGTAGTTCCCCTACTCTTCCACTGAAGGATGGAAGACCAGCTACATTTGTGATCATCGCCTGTGCAGCCTAAAGCCAAACAATATAGAACCGGTTGCTTTGATTCCCAACCTGTACTTCTTTTATATCACAACTGAAATCAAATATGCACTTTCAAAAGAGAGCTTAAATCAACAATCGCTGGCGTACATTTTCAGTTTGCTGAACATCCAAAACAAGAAAGAAAAATCATGGCTTCCCATCTCAAGTAATCAATGCTTTCATGGTGAACAAATTTATACGAAGCAGTTTTTGTTACAGCTAATATTTCGACAAGTCGTATTCATCGTTGGAAGCTCAAGAAAAAATTCAAATTTTACGTGCTAAAGAAGCCTGATAGCAGGGAGGCATTCCTACCACCCTTTATTTCGGAATACGAGGAGCGCCGAGTGCAGACGAAACACCACAAGTGACGAAAAAACGTGGATAAGCTGCTTCTAGCATGCTTTGCTAATATCCAGCGGACCATGTTAGAAACAGTTTATCTACATGACTTTTATTAAGTGGTCGACGGCCACGCCAAATCCTAGACATGTCTGATCTGACTTCGAGATATAGGTGTATCACGTACTGTGGATGTAAACTGTTCGATAAAAAGGTGGGGGTGTCAATCTGCCAGCTAATTTCAACCACAGTGCTACTCTACGTAGCAGCACGATTGTACGAGCCCTTAGCTATCCTAGTTCGCGGGATCCGATGAGCAAATTTTTAAAAACAAGATGTGTATGATTCAACGGATCACAAATGTCACGGTGGAGAATAAAGAAAAAGAAATGTGTTGGAGATCCAAAAAGGTAATCCAAGCATTAACAATGGGGAGCTGAGAGAAATACTGAAGCCTACTGCGATTTTAGGTGATAGGTAATACGTAAAAAAAAGGCAACCAGCTGTTTCATTTCACTACGTCCGAGGTGGTGACTTCTCTGCGAGCATTTCTTTCTTCATCACGGAAAACTTTTTCGAAGCAACCGTTAACCTCTCGTAATCATACTACCCTCAACCCTTAATCCATTTCAAAATCGTCAGTTGTCAATTGTTGCCTCCGTTCAAACTATGCATGTGTCATAGTTTTCAAATGTTATTTGTTGAAGCTTTTGATGTAGATAAGGTAAAATGTTTACATATAGTCCCCACAATGATTGAGAAAGGCTTCAACCCGAAACAATGTCAAATAATCAAACGACTTTAATTCCCACTAAATTCAGAAAAAAAAGAATAACCTAATAAAGTTCAAGGAACTTCCAAGAAGGAAAGGGTTCACAGGTACCAGAAAATGAAAGAAAAACTCCAAACATTCAACTCCTATCCATGTCCATGGGGACATGAGATTGCTTTTAATTGCTGGCGTAAAACGGTACCCTAGTGGCGTAACCTATAGCACACTTTCTCGGTAAACGAAAAGTGCGGGTTCGATTCTCGCCTGGAGGTGAAACATTTGGTTGTGTTTGAAGCATGAGCAATGAGATTCAAAGCCCAATAAATTCTTTATAATACCTCACCTCCAAAAGGAGTCTGCTGCCAAATGATTCACTCCGATGGTACGCGTAGTAGCAACTATTCCTGCTGTTACCATACTTTATATGGAAATCAGTTTTCTCTCGTCTCACTACGAGATCTTCAGCGCTATAACATGGCCAAAAACCCACTCAAAAACACATATGGAGACGGAACGATATATTCAGTAACTCCTCAGTGGCCAGCTTCCTCTGCGTCACTGCTAAGCGGGGTCAGACACCAGACAGACCAGCGAATGTTCCGTAGGTTCAAACGTTTCCATGTTTTCACAAAAGAGGTATCTCCCACAGCCAAACATCTCGTTGCACGAAATCCATCTTTGTAACTCTCGTTCGTTTTTATCCACTCAAGAAAAGCCCCGATTAGAACGCACATATCCTGGCGGTGGAAAATGGATATTCTCCCTCTGTCCGACCATTAAATTAACTACATTTACAACATCGTAAAAAAGGGATAACGAGGGCATGATGGTCGTATTCTTAGGAGACGTAAAATTCAACACATCACACATCTCACTACGACCATTACGCCAAATAAAACTTCAAATCGCCGTTTTTCCTTTTTTCCTTTCCTACTTTTCGCGCGTATGAAAAGCGTCTGTCGGGGAAATCACTTCATCACTGGAGCAGCTACCAAGTGTTGATTTGCTTGAAACAATACCGCACAGATCTTCAATAATAAAAAAAACAGCCGTAGTGTCACAAATAGCGACTGAGTAGCAAAGACGATCACTTGAAGAAAATAGGACTTAAAACAGTGACAATGGGATCTGATTGTTCAGATTACTGTCTGCTGACGGATAACTTAGCCACTTGCCCTGGTAAATAACCAACAAAACTCCATTCTTTCGTGGAGAAAAAAAAAACTCCCGACAGATTAACTGTTACAATTTTCTATTGTAACAATTTTTTAATTTGATAACGCGAAATAACTCCAAGGAAATTCCTGTTCCACTCTGATTAGAAACTTATAGCAGCATAATAGATATGGTTTCCACTCTTCGTAAACTCTTAGTGCACATAAAGGCTGCCAAGGGTAAATGACTCCTACAGAGAACTTTCGCTGAAGAAACCACCCTTTGAGACAAGTGACAGAATTTGTGATTGCAGTAGCGATCGCGGTACACTTCGCGACTGGACCGTGACGTAGATGACAGAACTACACCTCGAGGATGCAGTACATATTTATCGACCACACCATCGCACGGTCGATACGTATTCACTCTGCAAGCGAAATGCAAAAGGGTCGCAAAGTATGACCGCACCCTTGGTCAATAACCGCAGTGCATGAGGCTGTCTTTGAACACTTGCAAATTTTCTCTACAAACTATGGCGTAGGGCACCATTCGTTTAGGTTACCATATGAGAATGCTGTGCGCAATCGCTACAATCAGTCGTCAATGCAGCAACCCCACTAAATTATAATAAAAAAAATTTCGCACCAGTTTCTTCTGATTTGTCCACGGCTGGCTTGTCTTTAGCGACGGTGCAGTTGTTGTCACATTTGTATGTCCTGGTACAGAACTGGGTGCTGTAGAAACGGCACTAGATGTAGAAACTGCACTAGGTGTAGAGGGTTTCGTTGCAGATGACACAGCAGAAGGCGTGGCAGCAGTTGTAGGTAATTGTGCAGGCTAAATAAATCTTCATCACTGGAAGTCAGGTTGGGCTCAGAAAACGCGTGCAAGAAATCTATGAATTGTTATGCTACTGTCGCCACCAGAAGTGAAATATTCGTTAGTGCTTTTGAAGAGCTCAAAACAAAAAGAAATCAAATCACTAGATTAAGAAGAGACATCACTCACGGTAGGCTTTAAAGATGATGATGCAACTGTAACGGTAGCTGGTACGGGTGTCACTTTAATTGGAGACGGTGTAGGCATTGTTGAACCCGTAGCTTTGCTTAGGATCGAAGAAGCTATAGGTGATGGATCAGTCCTACTGAATGTTGTTGTTGGAGTCGAGGTGTTTGAGAACGCTCCTCCAGAAGACTTAGCCAAAAACGCCAAGTTTGGTGCACCATTCTTGTGTTCCTTAAAAAAGCCATGAAAATCCAACGTGCAGCCACGAAACACAGGAAAAGCGGGAAAGCAATGAGTTCTCAACCAGCTACTCAAAATAGAGGTAGCAACTTACGTCTCGTCGTTTAATGCAACGGGCATACAGCGAATTCTTCTGTATACCGCAATAATCTGCAAGGGAGTGTGCGACACGTGCCTTTTCGTGAACAGAATAACCATCTTTAAGGCACTGCTCCTCTATTCTGAAACGGAATTCAACGATTTCTACCGAAACCAAAAAGGATATCTGAAGTGGGTCGACGAAACGCACGCAATGACCATGTCCACATGGATGTTTTGAAGACGCTTCTTCTGACCAGGCAGGGCAAGATTATTCGTGCAGCGTTTGAACTCTTCTATCATACTGGACAGTGTGTCGGTCATAGGAGCCAATGGACGTTTCTTCTGCAATAAATAAATCGCAATGCAATTGAAATTTGTGAAAGAAGTGGCGTCGTACCGGAGATGGTGGCACAATCGCTGTGCTGGCTGTGCTAGCGCCTGCCTCAGCGCTAGATGACGTGGAGGTACTTTGAGGAACAAACTCTGGGAAAGGAGCATCGGCCTCGGCAGGTGTTGAGGTAGCATCCGTCGATATCTTCTCGGGAGTCTGCAACTAATTGTCAAAATTCACTGAAATCAATTTAGCAGAACGCTTACACGCTACAAAGTTACCACGAGCGCAACCCAATCGCCGAAATTTCACTATTCTCTTCTGAACACTAGGCTCACTTCATTGCCATTACTATCACAACAAAATGACGAAACTGATAACCAGACTTTTGATTTCCAAGCATTTCACGAAGGAAGGAGCGATCATAATTCAGACCAATTATTTGCATTTTGTGAAAGCGCATAAATTGATATTACATGTTATTATAATCCGCTTTGGGGCAAAGTGCGTTTTTGACTTTTGACGCGGGCAACGGTGGACTCACATTTTTGTACTGAGGAACGTACAGAATAAAGGGAAAAAACACTCTGTGAGCGGCAAGCAACATACGTGCGTGGAGAGCGAAACCTGAGGAGACCGCCAACCGTGATGAGTTCGAGTATAACTAAACTGGGCTAGTTTTCAAACAACTCATCCCTGCATGGGAGAAGACCGTGTTGCGCTCTCAGCGTTTCTACTTTGAGCTGTTACCTGTAGAACTTCTCACAGGGCACTTTTTGCACTGAATAGAAAACAAGCCAATAAACGCTTCTTTCGCAGACTTGATGTCTCGCTAACAGCCATAGCAGAAATCATAGAAACTATGTCCGTCATTAATTCCATTACGCAAGCTCACTTTTGTTTTATAATTTGAGGAAAGGTCTTATCCGAAATATTGTAAGCACACCACTTTTTGCGACTGCCCGAAAAGAACGTGCAGCGATAGCCACAGAGTTGCATCAAATAAACACAGTAAAGGCTAAGAGAACAAAAATTGAAATAGAAACGCATCGGTACATTGTATCTCTCTAGCTGCTCTAAGATTCGCTGATCTTGCAACACTCTCAAGAGAAAATCTAGTAGTGCAGTTCAATGGGGATTTCGGCCGAATAGGACCGATGGAATTTGCTACTGAGGATCTTGCAAACTATTTGGGTTTTCGTAAAAAAATTGATATACCTTAGTCTTAGGAACAGGCTGCGTCGAAGTAGAGGCGATTAATTCAATATCCTCATCGGGTGAAGGTATAGATCCACCAGACATGGTTCGAAGAAAATCGCTCATTTCATTCTCCTTGCGAGCAACGCTGAAACTAGGACTTCTGCAAGTATATAGAAATCGGGGAAAATGTCGTGACATACGCTGTTTGGAGGACTTTTCTCTTCAGCAACGTTGGAGGCATTCCTACAAGACGCTTCTTGATAGCATTAGCGGCACGTTGGTTTGGAGATTCACCCAGCGTCATTCTCTGAAGAAGTCGAAGTAGGAGAGAATAGATCTTCGAAATGTAAACTACTCACCCGAACTTTTGTAGGTGGAGCTCCGACCATTCGAGGTTTAGGAGCGATCGGAATCGGAGCAGGAGGTTCAGTGACGGTTTTTGACACATTCGTACTGGTTGTTGGAGCTACAGCTGGTTCTTCAATGACCTCCACATCGTCATCACTCGAAATTTGTGGCCGTTTCTGGAGCAGAGGAAAATAAAAGCATGTAATAGCGTCTCGCCAGTTAGGAAGCCATCGGATCACTCACCGTGCCCTTCTTTTGTTGCTGGGATTCATCCGCATCGGAAATATCTGAGTCATTCACTTCCTCGTGCTTTGTCTTGAACTCCAATTTCCCACGATTCACGTAGAACCCTCCTTGAACGGTGTCCATTGTCGAAGGAATGAGTTCATCGTACTAAATTCCAGCAATCTTTCAATGAAACCATGCCACAGACGCCTCCTACATTCAAACGTGATCGTATGGCACTCACCGCTTCTGAGTCATCAATAAAATCGTCCTCCAAGTCATAACCTGCTCTTTTGTCCATGTAATCATCTTCAGTACCAAAGCAGAGCTTCCGACCCTTCTTGGTTTTCTTACCGCCCTAAATGTGATAGAGTTCCCATCGCCACCAGAAAAACGCCTCAGCTTTTTTTTCTTAAGTACGAACAGCAGAACAGCAAAATGCTGTAAAAAATACCCAGCTTCACTAGGGACTGCTCAATGAACTAACATATTTGGCCTCCAGTCGCTTCACTATCTCCAGTGCTTCCCTGTCGTGGAACCGTTCATCGTCACCGCTGGAGTCATCTTCTTTCTGAACAATTGAATAGCACTAGATTCTCTAAGAGCCTTGTGATTCACTTCGAATAGCTATATCAAAGAACTGACCAGCTGCTTTTTCCTGATTTCCTCGTAATCAAATTCGGAGTATTTCTTTTTGCCAGGCTTGAATAGTGATAATTCTACTATGGAATATTTGCTCTTATCATTGGGCTTCTTCTTATTTCCTCCGAGATCCAACGCCATTCTGCGATGATCTTGGCGGCAGAGAAGCACCTAAACACATGCGCTCAAAAACGGATTGAACAATCGATAGACGTTCTAGAAAATGATCAAGTTAAGTCCGAGAGAAGCTACGAATACCCTGCGGCAATAGTTTGGTGGTCAATAGCAGATGAAGAAAAGCCATGGGCAACACCGAGCAACCTCGCACATACCGGCGGATGTGCCAAAATGCGAATTTACTACTTTTGCTACGCAGCGAAATACGCGCTGGCTGAGTATTAGACGCAGACACACAGCGAGGCGCCGAAAATGACGTCATAGTGGTCAGCTGGCCATCGCCCACCCACGATCGAATCGATCAACCACCCGTAGTGTACGATGGAGCCACCCACATAGTTTGGAGCCCGCCTCCTCGATTCTTCTTTCCAAGGTACTCATGCTCCTTTCTTTCGCCCCTCTGCTTATTTTGTCTGGGAAGATTCTTTACCGAGTGAGATTTTATGGGTCGCCTCGAAACTTCCGCGGCCACTTTTTGGCAAGTGAAAGTTTGAACGAAAATGACATGCGTTCCATTGATTTTCGTGAGGTTTTTGTTGCTACCTATTGAAAAGGGCTTCGACACTGAGAACATCCATCCAGTTTTTATAGAGTTCTTCCCCGAAGTTCCTGCACTTTTATACAGTGGTTTCCGTCTCAATATAGCCATCGCCATGCCTTACATCTAACGCCCATCACTTTTTGAGCGTTTTTCTTGTCCAGCCACAATTCTCCTCCTCCACCGTTTTCATTGTTACTAGAGCGCATTTTCTTCTCTGTCGCCGTTCGGCAGACCCTGTACTTTCCATTCTTCGTAAAACACTTCAAGAATTCTACCATTATCTTTATTCGAATTTACATTTGCTTCGCAGTCTTTCGTGTTGATTTTTTAATACTTGATTCAGCCATGTTATCCAGAGCTGTCAAAAACAATGGCGTGGTAGTCTAATTCAACAAGAATGAGCTTTTCCTTTTCACCCCACACAGGAAAATTAATAGACTGCCGTAAATCGTTTAGCTTTATCCAGATTAGATTTCCCGTAACTGTATCAGTCTGGAGCATGATGACTTTCAATGAGCTGTCGTTTTGAAGTAATTCCATCGGAAACTTCATTTATATTATTTTCTGATCAGTGAGATTCACAAATCGTAGAACAGTGCTGAATAGCTTCAGATGTGAGTGAGGTGAGGGTGGGTGTTTTTCGCTACGACAAAACCGACATTTTCGCTTTTCACAAACATTTTTCGCTGGGGGAACCCCAGGTCCAATCATGATCGGCAGTGGACCTGTGGTTCCCCTAGCGAGAAATATTCTATTGTGCGAAAACGTCGCTTTCTGCATAGCGAATCACACCCATGTGAGGGTTCCCACAGTTTATGAAGTAGTCCTATGCGCTTAGGTTGGGCAGTAGAAGAAGAATTTGTGTCTTTTTGTCGAGGCAGCCAGCTGGACGTGCCTCTTGGTATTGAGCCACCAAGCGAAGTTCTCGTCTAACGCTGCAGTTCTCCTTAGGCCTCATTTTGAAGTGATGATCATCACATATTCCTCCATAAAGTACACAAGAGCGTGAGGTTACGATGGATTGCAGTTCTGCTCAGTTCTGATATACTGGAACATCGAAATAAGTTAATTGTTTTCCTTTTTTACATACGTGCTGCTTAGATGAGAAGTAACATGCCATGCTTCTGTATAGTAGTGACACATGGACTTCAGTCCATTGTGAACCCCTGTTACCCTATTGATAGATATGCTCATTTAATCCATTGCGGAACCATATTGTCCGTACTTCATGTTTTCTCCGTATCTTTCGTGCTTTTTCTCAATAATGCTTATTAATCTTTCAATAATACGACAGTTACGGTACATATATTGTTCTTTGCCTCTGAGAAGTAAAACCGGGGAACGCTGAACGTACTTCTTTGGATTCAAACAAAGCGATTCTCACTAAGTGCATCTCACGTTCCGCGGGTTTATGGATGTATTAAGTTTTCGATAAGAAGTGGCGTATTTTAAGACGCCAAGTTTCCCTCGAAATTCAAAAGCTTTCACAAGACTTTATATACCGTTCGGAAAGGAACCATTCGTTCTTCAAGATTTTTATTTACTTTTCACACATCTCGCAAATTTTTTGAATCGCAGGTTTGCGAGGTGGGAGATTCCTTGAACGAAAATTAGCCGGACCTGCGAATTACTTTAACTCTACGTTCTGTAGCAAAAATATTGATGAGTGCTGTACTAGGTTCTTGGCCGAGACCCGTTCTGAAGATCTGCTATTGGGTTGTCCAACAAGTCGTGGGGCTCATCCAGTAAGGGGGGCATCAAGTGGCTGCCCTCACCCACCCCCCCCCCCTAGACTGCCTACACTCCCCCTGGCGCACAGGTTTCTCGAAGTACGGGACCCCGTGAGCCAGGGGGAGTGAAGGCAGTCTAGGGGGTGGGGGGTGAGGGCAGCCACTTGACGTTGCATCACAATGCCCCCTTACTGGATGAGACCCGTCGTGTGTTTTCTTTTCTAAAATTAGACATTCAGCCTGTCTGTTTGGATATAGCAATTTTTAACTGGAATTTTTCCTCTAGATTTCCTTGCTTCGACATAACTTCATATATCGTTCTGGAGCTTTTTTCCGCTCTATTTGCATCTCATTTTCTTTTATTTTCATTATGAAGTAGGCGGAATTTCAACCCCATGTCAAGTGGTCTGCTGCGCGATAGTGCCCCATTTCTCCCTGTATTATTTTCCATTGAAAAACAACAAAATCAGTCAGTGATCTACGCCGTACCTAATCGCGATTTATCCCAAGTGCTTAACTAGCTTAATGCCCCGACGCTAGAATTTTCAGATTAGGTTTGACCACCCAATGGATTTGGGAAAAACCAAATACGGAAAGAAAGGGACGCGACTTGTTGAACAACCCAATAGTTTTTTCATACAGCATAGAGTTCAATCTGAAGGTTTAGCTAACTTTCGTCCTCGGAATCTTCCACTTCGCAAAACTGCAACTAATAAGTATAAGTATAAGTATAAGTTTATTACGTCTGCAAAAGGCACACGTGGAAAAGAAAATGAGCATATACAAAGAACAGTGTGCTTATAAACAAAAAACTCAAATACTAAAACAGGTAACTTCGGAATCAGTCTCACAAAACTATGACTCTTGGTTCCTCAGTATTGTGACTATACGATGCTTGAACTGAGCTTGTGACAGAGTAACCGGTATGTTCTTTTGCAATGTTTATATAATCACTGCCAGCTCTATACGTGAAGCTTTTGGCACGTAGATTAGTTTTAGGTCGCGTTAAGGAGATTTTCATAGAACCTCCCCTAGTTCTCGAACGTGTCATCTTGAAGACATTGGTAGAACCTGACAAACAAAGACCTTGTATCAGCTTATGAACTAAGCAGAGATCAAAAACTCTGCGCCTAAATTTCAAAGATGTCAGACCCAAAGAGCTATTCCTATTGATTGCATTTGGTATGTTGGAGTACTCAAAACCACCTATTCTTATAAACAATTTGCGAGTGAAACTATTTTGAACCTTTTCAATTGTATATATGTGCTTCTTCTTTGAGGTATTGAATACCGTAGTGCTAGATTCAACCAATGGTCTCACGTAGGATTTGTAGGCATGCAGCAATGCATTCTTATTAGCCGAGGTTAGCCCTTTGAAAATTCGAAATATGCGTAAGTGAGCTGTTCTGACTTTCATTTTAATATGTTCAGAAAAGTCTAGTTTATTATTATAATGAAAACCAAGGTCTCTAACAGATTCAACAACCGAGAGGGGTATTCCCTCGATAGAGTAAGAGTCTATCGATGATGTAGCACCGGTTACTAATCGCATTTGTACCGTTTTGGTTGGAGATATAGGCAGTTGCCAATCCTTAGACCAGCTCACTATAATGTTTATCGCTCTTTGCATCTTTAAAGAGTCTTCAGAGTTCAATATCGATTTGTAGATTTTTATATCATCAGCGTACACTTTTGCTATGACACCTGTTTGCTGAATCATGCTTGGAAGTTCAGATGTAAAAATGTTAAAAAGTACTGGTGATAATACACCTCCCTGAGGCACACCACTAATTACTCGTTTCACGTTAGAAAATGACTGCTCAATTTTGACTTGAAACGTTCTCTCACTCAAATAATTCGAAATCCATTTCGTAATCACCGGATGAAATCTCAGAACCTCTAACTTGTGAATCAGTTTCTTGTGTGAAACTCTATCAAAAGCTTTCGCAAAGTCGAAATAAATTACATCACAACACCCCCTGTTATCTAGGATCTCAGTCCAGTCATTCAAACATTCAACCATATTAGTTTCAACGGAACGACCTGATACAAAACCATGTTGGTGTTTTGAAACAACATGGTTTATTGTCAAGTGGTGATTTATATGTTCTTTCAAAACTTTTTCAAATATTCTGCAGAAAAGGGATGTAATACTGACAGGCCGGTAATTCTCGGGATTCCATGATGGTTCTTTCTTTAGTATTGGTGTGACATAGGAGTGCTTCCAACGTAAGGGTACCTGTCCAAGTGTTAAAGACTGATTAAAAATATAAGCAAGGGGACCACAGATAACATCAGCCATTTTTTGTACAATAAAGAATGGTATCAAATCAGGTGTTACTGAGGAGGAACCAGGCCATTTCGTGATTAAATCATGCAACATGGTGGCGGTGAACGAGGGAAAGTCTTTCATAGGCTCAGTTATGGGGCACGCATAATCAGGTATTTTCCCATCATCTTCATTAAAAGACATTCACAACCAAAAAGTCAACACTAGATGCGCAAAAGTAAACAATATTTTCTTATGAGCAATTTTTTCGTCGTAGTGAGCCTCGAGGAGGGGGGGGGGGGGCAGTCTAAAGCCCCACGACAGACTTTGCGATTCCAGCGATTCGCTAGCAAATGTACGAGCGATTCGCAACGTCTGGCATCTGCCTAGAAAAGGAACGAATTCCGCAGGGATGTGATATGCATACACGCTTCGGATTCGGAATGTCCTTTTCGCTCCCCTAGGCTTAGTCTAAACGTGAGCGTTTTCAGTGGAGCATAACGTAAACGGTACGGCTGAACCTCCATTGATTCTTTTCCGAAAAGTATATAGCATCTCGTAAGGGACTTCAAAGAAAAAATTTGCTTCTGAAAAATATACGGCACTGCTTACTGTGCGGCGTAATAGTTGGTTCGCCGCTAGGGGCCATCCTTCCCTTTTGTTTATAGCCTTTTCGCAAGAGGTGCTAGATGTCTGACTCCTTGGAAACCCTACCCCCTCCGCCATGTTTCTGCTCCTTTGTCTCACCATTAAACTACAAAAATTGATGCAGACTCCATAGTTTTTTGTTGAGACCATGTAGACTACCACTGTGTAGTTTTTAATGCGCAGCTTCTATGCTTTCACATAATATTGTTTGCTTGCATATCATATGCACATCATATGCTTTTATTAAGGTTATGGTTATTTCTGCCACGGAGTCGAAAAAATTGAGGGGAGAATTTCTGCAGACAGCTGCTGATATCTTTGAGAATGTGCTCTCAAAACCCCCTACTCCGAATATTGTGGAGCTTTGGAAGGAACATCAAGTGATCAGAAGAGCTCTGGATGAAATCACCAGCAAGCAGGCGCAACTCAGTGACACCGACGTTCAGCTGTCGAAAACGCGGTTGGTGTTCATTTTTCTGTTCCTATGCTTTGAATTTTTGTGAGTTGTTTTTAATTTTATTCACTGCTAAAGATTCGGCATTTGTTTTCAAACAATTGTTTACGTTAAGAACACAAATTGACGGAAGATCCAGTGTCAAGCTATGCACGAATAGTCTAGGATAGACTCAAAACACCAATTTGATCAAAAGATGGATCGTCAGGCAGTGTGAGGTGACCACCGTTCATAGTCTGGAGCGAGAATTTCAAACACCAATGGCCACACCTGGAGAAATTTACCAGCAAATGCATCCACCTTCACAGGCATTCCCCACAAGTTGTGCGAATTCGACTGAAAAGCGATCTTTCGTTGGACATATCCGAATCCCTGTATTTCCTGGACCTTGAATCATTAGTCTCATCCGGAACTCACACTAGATTATTGCGTCAAAACTATGCAGTCGCTTCCATCTCTTGACTCTTGAATGTCTGTGGCGCAATGGCCACAAAACATTCTATACCGAAGAGTGTTTTGCATCATTCCACTAGGGAATAGTGTTAGTTATGGGTGTGCGTAGTTTGAGTTGCTCACAGGCATTTAGATGGGAACTGATTTTGCATTTAGATCATCTGTTACACTACTCGTGGATGAAAAAAATACTTATATTAGTAGTCTTACAGTTCACGTTATTTTCAGTAAAGCAACTGTTACAATTTGTAGGTGATACGATTAGGCCGATGTCAGACTTTGCGAATCGCGCGATTCGCTAGCGTCTGCGGTCGCGTCGCGGCCAGTGAATCACTCAATTGGCTGGTACCGCAACGCGACCGCGGACGCTAGCGAATCGCGCGATTCGCAAAGTCTGACATCGGCCTTATGGAGCAACGGTTACTCGTCTCCATGATAAGAGTGCTCCTTCCTAAGTGTATGTTCTATCTGTGGAACTGATCGAGAATCGAACGAGAAAACCGTTCTTCTTCACTCCTTATAAGAGTGCACGGAGATGTGGGAGATTTTGAAAATCAGGAGAGTGCATTCTAGTTGTCCTGAATATTGTATACGATATTGATCACGTTTCAGCCTTTTTTGACTATGTGGATGGGTAAATGGGACCTGCGCTTTAGATTGTACTATTAACATTTGTTCCCACTGAGTTTCATATTGATTCTAATGGCCATTTGTCAAGCTCTAAAATAATCATCAACGTGTTTGCGCAGTTTTTTTCGTAACTAGTAAGCCCTCCTCACACCTTTACGGATGCCACTTGTGAGGTGGCAGTTGGTCTCCCATTGTTACATTCTTGAACATCGATTTATGATACATTACAACGTAGTGATGTATTGCTCGCTTGGACTCGTACTTCTTTGGAGTTCTTTGGAACGATCACGACTAGGTAGCACAAATGACCTCCAATGGTTATTGTTTTCAGAACAGCGAAAGAGGTTGCGGATTTTTTATTATGGGCCGATCAAATTGGCATAAAACGCTATGGTGTTACTGTGTCCGAATGCGACGAAGTTGGCGGTTTAGGACTATTGGCTTCGAAGTAAGTTGAACCATTTGATATGGAACAGTCGAAACTTTTCCATGCTGCCCAGTAAAAATGCTAGATCGTTCCAGAGAGATTGCTGAAAAAGATCGTTGTGTAACTGTACCACGACATGCCATGATTTCCGTTGATCTTGCGAGGAAATCTGCCATTCTCAAGTGAGTTTGGATCAGTCATCTGCTTTCTGTGGGTATGTCGCTACCTTGCTCCTTAACGATATGTACTTTCAGAAAAGTTTTTGAAAGCGAAGTCATTGTTCAGAATATGGCAAATGTTGGTCTAGCCCTTTTCATTTGTGCTCATAAGGTGAAATCTGATTCAAAATGGGCCTCGTATCTCAATGTACTTCCCAGTTTCTACACGACACCACTTTTTTATACTGAGGAGGAATTGGTGGTAAGTTCACTTTGAGTGACTTATTGCTTGATTTACTTACTTCGATACTTTGTTAGTCCATCAACTGACGATCTTCTCAGTGGGGACCACACTCTTCCATATAGCCCAATAGTGCAAGTTGCATCCAAGGCTGTGTTCTCTGCAAAATTTTGAGAACTAATCGGTCCACCGAGTAGGCGGTCGTCCTAGGGAGCTCGTTCTGCTTCTTGGGAGCCACTCCGTCACGCATAAACTCCAGTATCATTAGTACGGCGAAGTAAATGACCGGCCCATCAATGTATCGATGTGCCATATGTAGAGGTGGATCTTTCAAGCGTGATCTTCCCTCAAGTCTGAGCTACGTTGAATTACTGCTTGACACTACTGCGTAATTGAACCTAATCTTGATTCTATATTGTTTCAGCTTCTGAAGCCGTCTCCAGTCTTCGAAGAAGCTTTGCTATTTTTCCGCACCGTGGCTAGGCAGTTCATTTACTACTTATTAATGGTTGGACGTAACGATGTTTATGATAACACAAGTCGTGTGAGTTCTTCGGATTTTTTTTTTGCATTCTGACTTGGTATTTATCGCTTTTCTTCTTGAAAGTACTTGCAGTTTTTATCATTTCGTCTGTTTTGATGGGCGACGTGAGTATTGTGCTATTTCAGAGAGAACGTGCGGGAGCTCAGCCTCCATTGCTGTACAATTCCCCATTTACTGTGGACAACTTCACCTTCTCTCTGTATAGATGGGCCGTTGGAACTGTTACTACTCGAATAAACTTAATTCCTAGTGACACGGCCAGAGCTGCTGATGGTACCAAGAAAATGGTAGGTTTACATTCCATTCAGTCAAGAGTCGTATCTATCAGTCAGCGTTAGAGTTTTTCCTCTGCAGCACTCATGATGATGTCACATACATACTAGTTGAACATTTTGTTTTGAATAGGAAGGTTTTTAGCACTGATATTCTGACTCTGATTTCTTACTGAGCTCCTCCTCTTTGATATCCTCGATTCTTTACGCCACTTTCTAACTGCTATTTTCTCCATTTCTTTATCTTAGAAATGAGGGTAGTGCAACCATGAAAACCGTAGTGTGGTTTTTCATCAGATGAATGCTTTCTAAATCGCATACGTCTGAGTTTCTCACACTTTTCTTTATCTTTCTGTCCCCCCCCCTAGGGTATGGCCATACACCGATTTTGTGATTTTGCAATTCTGTGATCTTGCGCCTTTCGTGGAGTATATGCGTATCAATCACACATGCGATCGGGCGATTGCGGAATCGCATGGTCGATACTATCGTGTACTCCACTCATTCATTTGAGCTCAAAGTATGACGCGACCCTCGCAGCTCACAGTCAAATCCTATGTCGGTAGAGTGCATTTCTTGTATTCAGCTATTTTAGGTACCCGCACTTATTCCTATGTTAGATATGGCTAATCATGAATTGGTGATGGGAACTCAAGACTTGGGAGAAGCCGTCTCTTACTGCACTGAGAGTGATTGTGCGGAGGTATCATATTCTCTGATTTTGTATCGGAACACACTGTTCTGGGTGTTGATCGAAGTAGCCTTTCGTACGGGATCGACTTTTTTTAATAGGCGGGATTGCACAGTAAAACGTGAACTCGCTGTTTCGATCCTCCGAAAACTACTCACCATTCTCACCGAATTCGAATGCATGGCACCTAATGGGCTGTACATGTTTAGATTATCGCCACAAAGGATGTGGCAGCTGGTCAGTGGGTAAGCATGTTTTATGGTAGACGATCTTCCGCTGATCACTTGCTTCACAATGGTTTTGTACCCGCAGGCGAAAATCCCTTTGACAGCTATAAACTAAAAATAAGTAAGTTCACGTTGCGTTGATGTTTAATACACCATTCATTATCCATAAGCTGTAAGCATGAGACCCTTAGCTGTTTGATTTTAGAGGAGCTAAATGTGGC